GACTATAAAATAAACTATCTAAACTTTTCATTACATCATGAGTCTATTTCTAAAGCATTTCCGTTACTCCGATTAGGTGCATTACACGAACATCGCATCGCCAGGCCTTACTGAAGCAATTTCCCTGCTAATACTATAGATCGGTATCATTTCGATACCAGTTCGATATCAGTTCAATATCAGTTCAATATCATTTCGATACCAGTTCGATATCAGTTCGATATCAGTTTAATATCAGTTCGATACCAGTTTGATACTTTTTTGGAACCTTATAAGAGAGTAGGTTCATTAAGCTATTACTGCATGATACTAACTATCTTAAACTTTCTAAATCTAAACTCTCTAAATGTGATCATAGAAAATGATAATATTGCACCTTTTCAAGACAAGACATCAAAAGTCTATATTTTGAAAGATCACTGCCAACCTATATTCAGACTGTTACCTCCAAACAAACCTGTAGTCCTAAGAGATAAAAAATTTTTATTTTTTTAGAAAAAAAAAGAGAAAAATAAAAAGGTGTAATTGAAAAGTTTGTTCTGATAAATAAAAACCCTTCAATATCAATTTCGATCTATTAGGATAAATCCTTTATCACTACCTGCAGCTGGACAAATTATTTAATTTTCACTATTATATTGCTGACTAAGAATATTCAAGGTACATATAACAAGTCTTATACCTATAAGGAATTATTGCTTAAAAAAAGACTTATACCTTAGGAAATTATTGTTTAATGTCTTCTCGGGATAATTAACAGTAGAAGAAGCTTGTTACTGGATTGGAATAAGATTACTTTTAATTTTGAAGAGAAAAGAAACCAGTCCAAGAGAGAAGGAGAAATCATCAAATTATTTCTATTCCAGAGAACACCATAACACCTTGCTCTTCAGCTTTCTTCAATTACATCATTGTTGTTATATTGCATGACAAGAAACACATAAGGAGTATGTATCTTATTTACTTTTTTGCTACATGTTAATTAACTAATCCAAAATCTTAACCAATTATCAACTAGAGATTTCGATGTAACAAAAAATTTAGGATCAAACTGAGATAAGCAAAATTTCTCAAAAATTTTTGAAAATTTGTTGACACACTTGAGAAGGTTGCTGCAGATATTTAATTAATGAAGAGAATCACATGTTTATATTTACAGACCAAAACACTAACTTATCCACCTATCTTTAACAACAAAGGAGTTTACTTATAATAAACCCAAGGTTCTTATGGAGCTTGAAAAATGCATTTACTAGTGAACTTTTCTAGAATTTCAGACCTTGAGAAAAAATAGAAAAGGGTATTTTTTTAACAGGTTTCTTTTTTCCAGTAAGGTGTTCTTGCTATAAACCAAATGGGTGAGTTTTAGATATTCTGTTATTGAAATATCCAAAGAGTTTTGAAGAAGAAAAGGTAGACAAGTAGAGGAAGCTGTTGCTTTTAAGAATATACTAAATTAATTATATAATTATTTGAAAATTAATATCAATAATTAATTTCATATTTGTATTAATTATAGGAATAGTTTCTTCAAGTAAAGCATATAAGAAAATTATTGTGGAATTACCTTCAAGATCGCCTCCCCCCTCCAATACCGCGTCGAATAAGGGCCAATGTTGGATAATTTGTAGCACATAAGAATTGGGTTTCTTTTTCCATAGGTTCGAGCAAGATTATTAATTGACTAATTTTTCTTTGTTCTTCACTTGTTGGATACCATTCTTGTAAATTTTGATTTACTGAAATCAAAATTTGTAACTGTATGTTTTTTTTTTTTTTTTTTTTTGTAGGTAAACATCATTTCTTTATTTGATTTGTATATAGCAAGGTATACATCGTGAA